ATTTTTTCTCTATAAGGTTACATCCTGAAGATTGTGAAAAATTTGCCTTCACTGTCCCAGCAATTAATTTTTAAAAACCTGTTAAAAGATATTGCTGGAAGGTACTCCCCCAAGGAATGCATAACAGTCCTACATTATGCCAGAAATATGTAGATCAGGCGATAGCTCCTATAAGAAATAGCTTTTCTGAATCGAATATTATTCATTTCATGGATGATATTGGCTCATGCTAATCCAGAGGTACTTTCAGAAATTTTTACTCAGTAAGAGGCTTCACTTACAGCAATGGGTTTATGCATTGCTCCTCAAAAAATACAAAAGATGCCTCCTTTTCAATATTTAGGTCAGATAATTCAGGGACGTACAATCCGTCCACAAAATCTTCAGATAAGAGTTAAGGAGTTACRTACCCTTAATGATTTTCAAAAGCTATTAGGAGATATTAATTGGCTGAGGCCATCCTTAAAACTAACTACTTCTGATTTAAGTCCTTTATTTCAGATATTACAAGGGAATCCTTCCCCAACATCTCCACGTCAGCTAACAATAGAGGCTAGAACAGCTTTTAAAAAGGTTGAAAGTGCAATTAGAAATGCACAACTTACTAGAGTTGATCCTAAAGAAATACTGTATTTATTAATATTTCCAACTGAGCATACCCCAACAGGAGCCATATGGCAAAGATTGGGAGTTATTGAGTGGATTTATTTAGCTCACTCCCCTCAAAAAACATTGATTCCTTTTTTTTTTTTAATAAATATGCACTTTTTAAAAAAATTTTTTTTTTTTTAAGGAGAGAGAGAATTTTTAATATTTATTTTTTAGTTATTGGCGGACACAACATCTTTGTTGGTATGTGGTGCTGAGGATCAAACCTGGGCCGCACGCATGCCAGGGGAGCGCGCTACCGCTTGAGCCACATCCCCAGCCCCATTGATTCCTTTTCATGACTGTATTGCTCAATTAGTAATTAAAGGTAGAACGAGAGTTTTACAATTAATTGGATCTGAGCCTGATATCATAATTATTCCATTTTCTGTTCAACAAAACAATTGGCTTTTTCAAATTTCTAGCTTATGATAGATAGCTTTTGCTGATTTTCCTGGCCAGATAGATAGTCATTACCCTTGTGATAAAATTATTCAATTTGCATCATTAACACTGCTTAGTTTTCCAAAGATTGTATGTGCCCAGCCTATAGATGGAGCCCTATCGGTGTTCACTGATGGTTCAAGCTCAGGTAAAGCAGGTTTTTATAGTTGTGTTTACACAGAGGTAATGCAAACTTTATATACTTCTGCCCAAAGAGCGGATCTTCAAGCTCTCATTTGTGCCTTAAATTACCTTACAAATGAGCCTATTAACATTTATTCTGACAGCTTATATGCAGTTGAAGTTACCAAAAATATTGAAACTTCAGTTATTGGGATATACTTCATCACAAGAGTTATTTAAATTATTTCATAACTTACAAAAGGCAGTACAAATGCAAAAATACCCATGTTTCATAGGACACATGTGGGCTCACACTAATCTTCCAGGACTTTTAGCTTCAGGAAATGACAAGATTGATAAATTAGTAGCTGTTTTTCAACAGATGTCTCCATATAATTGTGCACAAGCTTCCCATTCCTTACATCATCAAAATGCTTCTAGCTTATGTAAAAAATTTAATATTACCAGAGAACAAGCTCGTCAAATTGTAAGTCACTGCCCTAAGTATGTCATTCATTCTCCATCTTTGTCATCAGGGGTAAATCCCCGTGGATTAAAACCAAATCAAAATATGGCAAATGGATGTAACTCGTATTCCTCCATTTGGTGAATAATGCAGATTTATTTTTGCCACAGTACATACAAATGAAAAAACTCAACATGTAATTTCTCATTGCCTAGAGGCCTTTGCTATGTTAGGGTGCCCTTTATAGATTGAAACAGATAATGCACCAGCTTATGTAAGCTCTTCTTTTCAACAATTTTGCCAAGAGTTTCAAATTAATCATAAAACAGGAATTCCTTATAATCCCCAAGGTCAAGCCATTGTGGAACGAGCTCATTTATCTATTAAGCTTCAATTACAAAAATTAAAAGGGCAGAATAGGTTTATGACTCCCCAAAATAGCCTCAACCATGCCTGTTCATTTTAAATTTTTTTAATTGTGACGCAGAAGGTCACACTGCAGCTGACAGACATATGTCTCCTGCAGTAACAGGCCCTTTAGGCAGAGTTTTGTGGAAAGATTTACAGACCAGTCAGTGGAAAGGCCCAGACCCAGTGATTATGTGGGGCAGAGGTCATGCTTGTATTTTTCCAGAAGGTGCTTTCCGTCCTGTCTGGGTGCCTGAACGTGCTATCAGACATGGAAGAGATAGAACCCAGATTCAAGCGACTGAAGATCGACCCAGAGAAGCCCCCATTCAAAAGGAAGAGATATAGAAGAAGGACGAAGAAAAACCAGACTGAACCAGCCGAAAGGCTGATTTCATGGGAAGACGTAAAGAAGCTAACAACCCAGGCTTCCCGAATAATTCGACTCCTAGGAAAAAACAGGACCCCAGTGATGATGGTAGCAACAGTAATTGCCCTGCTGGGCTGTCAGGTAAAGGGGAATCAGATAGACACTTACTGGACATATTTCCCAGATCCACCCCTGGTACACCCAGCTGTGTGGACTGGAGAATCTATTCCAGTGTTTACTAATGACTCATTCATGATGGGAGGATTTACAGATACTCATATTACTCCCAATCATGTGACTAGATTTAATTATTCTGGCCACAGTGCCCAATTACCTTTGTGTTGGTCCCACAATAAACATGCTGGCTGTCTGAAAGTATTTGAGGAAAAGACAGCGATTGGTAGACCTAGACTGACTAATCATACTATTTATGGAGACTTAAAACCTTATACTAGGGCTGGGAATGTGGCTCAGGCGGTAGCGCGCTTGCCTGGGATGCGTGCAGCCCGGGTTCGATCCTCAGCACCACATACCAACAAAGATGTTGTGTCCACCGAGAACTAAAAAATAAAAAATATTTAAAATTCTYTCTCCTCTCTCTCCTCTCTCACTCTCTCTTTAAAAAACAAACAAACAAAAAAAACTCATACTAGATCAGTAATTAAGATGGGACTTTCCCATAACAAACCAGTCATTTCTGCAAAACCTCCACGGATACCCCACTGTCCAAATAATTCTGCAATTGAGATTGGCACCTTTCCTAGATGGATAGATTGTGTAAATACCCTTCCTGTACAACATAAGGTGTCTAAAGATAGTGGGTATATTTTAGACTGGTCTCCAAAAATTGATAAGAGACAATTACAAAAAAAATTCTGCTATGACACCTGCAGGATTTGTTAGTAATATTTTGACTCACAGTGAGGGTGGTATTCAAAAAGATGTTTGGTGCTTAATTGCTGCCTCAGAATTCTTACATTTTACAGACAAGCCTTTACCAAAATTTGTTGGCAAGAGCTGTAAGGAGGGATCTTGCTATGGCTTACGAGCCTGTGTCCAATCTCCTTATGTTTTAATTATTGGAAATGTAAAAGTTAAATGGATAGATGACAGATATGTTGTTACATGTAACAAATGTAACCTAACCAATTGTATTACTAGGTATAATGGAGGAAAAGGAGTGCTAATACTTCATCAGCCCTCTTTTGTTTTATTGCCTGCTAATATTTCAGAGCCATGGTACGCTGATGCTGGTTTTCAAATCAGCCCAGCTAGTGAGACCTAAACGTGCTATTGGAATTATAATTGTTGGTGTTTTAGCGCTGTTTCTTTTATTGCATCCAGTGTTACTGCCTCAATAATCTTATCTCAAAATATTCAACATGCAAAATTTCTTAATTTAGCCCAAAATACTTCCAAGGCTCTGTGTAATCAAGTAAATATTGATGAAAGGATTGAGACTAAGTTAAACGCCTTAGAGGCGACTGTTACAGACATAGGTTTGTTACAGACATAAAACTTTCGGCTTTAAAGTTTGAGGAAAGGCTTAAATGCCACACAAATTATAAATATGTGTGTGTTACAGCTGCCAAGTACAATGCTTCTCTCTGGGATTGGGAGAAGGTTAAGAACCATTTGTTAGGTATTTGGCAAAATAATAACAATAGCTTGGATCTTTTGGAACTTCACCACCATATCC